CCCCAAAACCCCAAAACCCCAAAACCCCAAAACCCCAAATTTTAATTTAGAAATTGAAAATTTTACAAATGGAGATAGGTAAAATAAGAGATATGAGGTTCTTGGAGGGTGCTGGATGATTTATTTGGTGGTTTAAGGTTGATGTGAAAACTGACTTTTAACATAGAGAGAGGAGATTTTGGTAATAGTCCGAAAAGTGTGACAAATGCACAAAAAGTTACCCCTTTTCGTACTTATTTTAAATATTTTATGACTCTAGTGTTCAGGAGAGATAAAAAAGCTTCCTTTGTAGATGAATTCCTCAAGAATCACATCAGAAAATAAGTATGCTTTTTAACCAAACATAGACTGAAAATAACTGAAAACTCGATACCAAAGATCAGCCCTGGAAATTATCATATTCTAAAGAAGGGAAGTAATCACAACTTCGATATTTTCAGAGAGGAAAAATCTCAAAATATCCAGAACCTTCAACAATCCATAAGAGAAAGACCTTCAAGGTAAGCTCTTCTTATGACTCTCTAGTATGAACCACTCCAGATCAGTCATGAATAAATAAAAAGATGTAATAACTTTCTCATGCTTAGATTTGACAAAATAAATTTTATCAAGAAAGTTAATTTCAAATACACACTAATCTCAAAATACAATAACTCAGGTGAGAGAAGACTCAGGTCTTCAGCAGGCTTCCGAAAACAACTTGTAAGATATAGTCAAGATTATAGATGGAGTTCTCACTCAGGAAGAACTCTGGCATACAGAACCAATCTGTGACCATCTTTGACGATAGCAGCATGGTTTGGTTCTGCTCGTTAGCTATAGAATTTAATCCATCCAGACAGAGATCCTACAGAGGATGTTAGAGGGATTGATATCAAACTAGAAAAATCAGACTGATTCAAGGTAATCCTTTTCCTTATTCCTAGAAACCTCACAGTGCTTCAATGGGTAGAAAATCTACAATGAAACGACATAAAAGAAAATTCAAGATTTCCCGAAGAAGATTCAAAAATAGATCAGTATTTTTAAGTAAAATTATTATAGAGACGAAACAGATTTATCTTAGATCTCAAAGTTAAGAAAGTACTCCAACTGGCAACCTTCAGTGACTTATTATGTTATAAGAAAAATAAGGGGAAAAGGTATCATAGCTGGTCGATATCTTCCCAAGATAACAAGAAGGAATTAGTAGAGAAATATTACCGAATTACCCCATATTTCTCCCAGAGTGATATCCCTCTGTTGAAAGATCCCTCAAACCCTAAATTTGAGACTAAGAAAATAGCTAAAATAGCTAGAAAGATCCAAAGATGGTACAGAGGATGCAAGATCAGGAAGAGGTTCCTATCTGTGATTCTTAACCACCTTGAAGACTTCAGAGAGCATCGGCTTCTTGAGAGACAACTAGAATCGATGGAAAATTGTGTAAAACTATTCAAAAATAACTCAAGATCCCTAAAAAGTGCTGTGAAGACTTTGATAAAATAACTGGAGAGCTTATAAATTAACCAAGGAAATTGAGAGGAGAGTTCAAATGACCAAAACTGAGCGTGAGAGACAAAAGAAGGTGGTTGAAATGTCGCTCCCAAAGAGTGCTAAAAAGAAGAAGAAATCAAAGCTTTCTCAAAAAGGAACTCTTAATTTTAAAAGAAAGCCGAGGAAAAGTATCATAAATATATAGGTATTTTAAATAATAGGATTTGGACTAAATGTATAGTTACCTCTGCGAAAACTACTAAGTTCATAGGGAACAGATCAAAGACAGATTTCTCTATCCAGTATTTATACTTATACTCATTCCTAATAGATCAAATAGTTCTGCAACAGGAAGATCGGATGGTGCAAGAAAAGGTTCAATCAGGCTTTACAAGAAATCACATTCAAAGAGGTCTTCGAATTCTTCCAAAAGAGCTCAAAATGTTGATATAGTACTTGTTTGGAGTAAGCTTATAGATGAATCTATCAAAACAAGCTAAGGAAGAGCTTATCTCTGCTTCTTCAAAGGTCTTGCCAGTGGAAGAAGATTTAGACTTAGAACATTCAATACATGAGGATCAGTTCTGCTCAATAGCGGAGAATGTATATGAAGCTAGTGAAGGTTCTCCAATAGAGTTTGCAAGAAATAAGCCTCAAATAAGCGTGTCTCCATTGCACAAAAGTTTTTCAAAGCCTAATATGCAGGTGAATTTGGCTAACAAAAACGAAGTTCAAGCTATTATAGGAAATGTACTTGAGATGAATAAATAATTTCTTGCATTTCAATCCTGGTGAAATTTCTAGGGGTTTTGGGGTTTTGGGGTTTTGGGGTTTTGGGG